TTGATATTATCACACATGAATATATCAGAAGAGATGTTATCTCCTTATTGCGAATCTATATTGAAAAATGAAGGTAGAAAGATCCCCAAATCTAATGTGAAATTAGCGGCCAGTCATCTACCCCAGAAAAATTATTTGATCAGTCTAGATTTGCTACAATTATTAATGGAACTTGGGTTAGAGGTGGAAAAGGTTCATGCCATATATGAATATACTCAGTCAAGATTTTTAGAACCTTTCATAACTAATATCGCACAGAGAACAGGCACATAATGTCCTATCAAGTCAAAAGCTTTCAAATTAACTAATAATGCCATATATGGGAAATCATTGTTGAATATCACAAAGTATGCTGAATCTTATAGATATATCAAGAATGAGAAAGCATTTGTTAGAGCGGCTAAAGATCCTTTCTTAAAAAATATCACACATTTGAATCAAGACAGAGTGATTTGTACATTCAACAAAGAGAAATTAGAAGTGGAAATTAATTTCGAGAGAACTTTTCAGAGACATTAAACAATATATTAAAATCATTGAACCTAATGTGTAACTTATAAGGTAAGCAAAATTATTTACCTTGTATCAGTGGTTTAATTCATTTAAGTTATTATTATTATTATTATGAGGAAGTAATTATAACTTGAAGAGAGAGACATATATTTGAACTAATATATAACTCATATTTACCTCTTCGTGGAATGTGTTACTTACCATTTCGGCCTTCTCTCTCTCTCTCTCTCTCTCTCTCTCTCTCTCTCTCTCTCTACCTGAACACAAATAATCATTTCTACCATAGAGAATGTTTACTTCATTTAAGTTAACAAGAAGAAAAGTAACTTAGTTCATTTAAGTTAACGAGAGGAATACTGATGTAACACTTGAGAGAGACATGTTTGGGATAGTGAAAAAAAATATATAACTTTTAGTTGGTTTATATCTTTTACAGGTGATGATGCAAAATTCTCCCCATTATATGCTAATGAAATAAAAAATATTAACATTTACAGGTATGGATGTGACAGGGCTTGGAAGAACAAGAAAAAATCTAGAGAGGAGAATTTATGATGTTTAGAGCATGTTGTTACACCAAGATTAATAATATATGATGATTCATTCATTAAAAAGAGAAATATTTAATAAAAATTTTAAGACATGATGATTTTTAAATCAATCAATCCTTACCATGAAAAAAATATTTAGGTAGAATACCAATGTTATATCTCTTATACATGTTTACTTCGTTTAAGTTAACAAGAAGAAGAAAAGTAACTTAATTCATTTAAGTTAATAAGGGGACACAGTATGATTATGCTTTTAAGTAAATAATTTGGAAGATATCTGTTGTGCTTTCATGCACACTTTTAGTTCATTTAAGCTAATTTCATGGTGTCTGTCAGCCCTGTGACCTCACCAAATTTTAGCATAAGAGGACACAGTTGCACTGGAAAGAGATGATTATCTTAAATCTAGCTTGTGTGTGAATAACATTTATGGCGCTCGTCTGACTGACCTGTGTTGACAAAGGTGTTCAGTAAGGAGATACGTAATGACTATGTGATTTTCTACCGTGGGTGTGAACACCATTTCATGGTGTCCGTTAGAGCGAGGATTGTGTTTCTATCCGGAAATCGAGTAAATATTTCTACCATTGACTGTGTTTACCAACAAGAAAACAATGTTCGATTTTAAGATATAATCTCCAAAACTAATTTGGAAATATCCAAAATGGAGTCGTTCAAAGTAATTCTGGAGTACTCTAATGTATTTCGGAAGTGTTCCAATATATTTTTGAATGTGTTCCAACATAATTTGGAAGTGTTTTGGAAATGTTCTAATGTTATCCCAGTTTTTTTATTCATATTACAGAAATCGAGGGAATGTGGCTAAAATGTGATTTATATCATATCATATCTTAGTTGGATGTGTTTGTGATATATTCATAAAAAATAAGTGTTTTCTAAAAAATTGTGACACGTTGTTAATATTACTGAGTCAATATGAAAATGTGGTGACTTTTCTGTTGAAATAGTTAAAACGAGAAAAATTGTGGGTTATGAGTATAATATTAATCTATGTGGATTTGAGGAGATGGTATGGAATGGATTTTATTAGAAATTTAGTGAGTGTAGGGAGGAATGTGCATTACATTTAAGAAAAAAATGTGGGGATTTCTATAAAATGGGTATTAGCTGGTAGTGCTGATCTTAGTTTCTGGTGATTTTTAGTGGCATTTGAGCAGTATTCAGTGGTGTTTTGGTAGTATTTAGTGATGTTTTGGGAGTATTCAAAGGTAATTGATGTTTTTTTTTTTTGGTGTTGTTCAAAGCATAGCGTGGTGTGTATGAGTTAGTTTTTATGATAATGTTGTAAAGTTCGGAGAATTCGGGAGGAGTTTGGTGGATGAGTTGTAATTTAATGAAATGTGAAAATGTAGATGAGAATGTAAACTGCTGGGTGAGTTAGAGAAGACAAAAATGTTATGTGATCTTAGTAAAAGTATAGATAGTTTTAGTGATCTTGACGTAAGCGATCTTAGTTTTTAGTGATCTTGGTTATGATGTTTTAAGAGAATGTGTGTACAAAACATGTGATCTTAGCAGTGGGGTTATAGAATTTGGTAAACGTCTTGACTGTGGTGATCTTAGATACTGGAAATATAACAGGTTGAAACAAGTAACTTCCTCTCATTAAGTTAAATGAAGTAAAAGTGGGGGTGTGACATCGTGTGTTGGTGGCAGTGAGGTGAGTGTATTAGATATTGTATGGAGTTGGTGATTGTGGTATTTTGTGTGAATGTTTATAAAAATGGGCGTGGGGTTGTTTTGGGAGTATTCAAAGGAGTTTGATGATGTTTTTGAATGTGTTCAAATGATGTTTTTGAAGTAATCAAAGGTAATTGATGGTGTTTTTGGTGTTGTTCAAAGTAAAGTGTGGTGTGTGGGTGTGTGTTTGTGTTACTTTTGGTAAAATGTCTCATGTCATAAGTGTTTGAGTTAGTTTTTGTGATAATGTTGTGAAGTCTGGAGACTTAGGGAGGAGTCTGGGTAATGAGTTGTAATTTAATGAAATAATGTAAGTGTAGATAAATTAGAGATGTCAAATCTTATTTGGGAGTATTCAAAATGTTATTTTGGAAGTGTTTTAGTGTTGTTTGGAAATGTTCAAAGGTGTTTTTGTGAATATTCAATGATTTATGAGAGTGTTCGAAGTAATCTGGGAGTTGTTCTGCAGTGAGATGATAAAGGTTGTTCATGAGAGAATATATTTCTTCAGAGATGTTGAGAAAAGTGTGTGTGTGTGTGTGTGTGTGTGTGTATGTGTGTGTGTGTGTGTGTGTGTGTGTGTGTGTGTGTGTGTGTGTTTGAGTGTGTGTGTGTGTGTGTGTGTGGGTATTAACTTCGTAATATGCAAAATTGTGACTAATGAATTTATCGAAAAGTGGTTATAAGTTGTAAGAGTTGTGGTGACTTTTTCTGATGAAATAGTCAAAACGAGAAAAATTGTAGGTTATGAGTGAAAATTGTGGCTTGGTGGAGGAGAGCAAAGACTCGCCAGTCGGCAGATGTCTAGACTTGAGGAGAGTAAATCTTGTGTTGTATTTTGTAAAAAATTGTGGATTGTTGTGGGTATTAAGGAAAATGAGGAATTATTTGGGTTATCCTGGGTTAAGAGTGAAAATGTGTATGGAGTGAGATGGTGACGACGAAGAAGATCCAGAACAAAATGCCCAGAATTTCTTCAAGAGAAAAAGAATTACTCTATGTTGATTTTAGTCAATGAATTGCACCTTTTTTCAATTAATTTGTGTTTTTTTTGTTGGATGTATATGAAATATTGTGTATTGGTTGTATAATAAATAAATGAAAATATTGTATGTTAGTGTTATCCAGCATTTTAAGTTAATGTTTGGTCGACAAGATTCAGCCTGTGTGTGTGAGGTCATCACGTGACATCACTGACCGCTGAGTAAACACATGTGGGGTGAGGTCATACTTGTTTAGACCTGTATTAAGAGAAAGTACCATGTCCCATAGGGGGAGTCCATTTGAATGCTTAACCCCATAGGGAGGAACCCAAAAACTTGATCCAAGGAGATGGAGCAGGAATATTGGGTTTAGAGGGTGGTGTGAGGGGATAGAGGGTAAAACTTGATCCAAGGAGATGGAGTAGGAATATTTGTATTATTGATATCAAGAAAAAACTTGAACTGAGGAGTTGGAGCAGGAATATTGGGTTTAGAGGGTGGTGTGAGGGAGGGTGTTGATCGAGGAGTTGGAGAGCACAAGGAATTCTAAACCCCATAGGGGGAGTCCATTTTGAATGCTTACCCCATAGGGGAAACCCAAAAACTTGATCCGAGGAGATGGAGACCACAAGAAAATGAAATTCAAAATAAAATTGAAAAAATCGGAAAAAAGTCGAGGAGCGGGGGCGATCCGGACGACGCTGCAGAAGGCGCTGCAGAATGCGTGGGCGTGGCATGGCGGGTGGGCACGAGGGTGCGGCGGGCGCGTGCGAGGACGTGGGTGGGCACGTGGGCACAGCGAGGATGAAGTGGTCGAGGGTGAGGTGGTTGAGGGTGAGGTCAAGGTCATTATCAAAGGTGCGAAAGGCGGCATCCTTTGAGAAGTCATGCCGTGGATGCCATACTGTGGGAGCCATACTGTGGGAGCCATACTGTGGGAGCCATACTGTGGGAGCCAAACTGTGGGAGCCATACTGTAGAAAACTTCACTACTATCAGTAACAATAATGTCATCTCAGAGTAGTTATTTAATATTTAACCTTCCTGTATTATTTAATACATATTGTGCAATAAGCGTTTCTTTATATATTAAACAGTCATTATAACTTTAGAAATATAAAATATAGGAAAAGGATCGCTATGGTATAGGTGTGGCATTGGTATCGATCGAAAAACTGAGTACTGGTATCGGCAGAAATTTTGGTATTGTCCCATCCCTAGCATCAAAATAATAACATCACTCAACACTTACCTGCATTTGGACAGTTGAGGACGAAATTTACTACAGTGCTGTTGCTGGACATCTTGACGGAGAAAGGCGGTCGCATCATACTACTGACTGTTGTAGCCTGACATGTCTGGTGACACAGTGCAATCCAGAGTTTGTCCTCAGAAAACGCTGTAATAAATATTTCACTCCAAAAAATTGTTTCACTTTTAGCACGTATAACTTCACTCGTGTCATTTGAACATTTGGAATAAAACTGGAAATTAGCTGGGTTATATTTAGCAATAAGAATACAGCTGTTAGATTCGTTAGATTTCTCTGAAACAGTAATGTTTGTTTCCACTTCAGAAGCGTTACGAATGAAACTAAGCATGAAGGGTGGAGTAAGAGACCCTTCCACCAACATCGGAGACATCAAGGTCACTTCACAATCTGAGAGAAAGAAAGGATAATAATGATAAAATAATTCGAAATAGTTTTCAATAAGTGTGTTTTGTCATTCACATGAAGCTCAAACACCAGCGTTACACAGCACCAGTTACACACTGCACCAGTGATACACACAACTCTAGTGTTAAGCACAACCCAAGTGTTACGAGCATCACCATTGTTATGTACAGCACCATTGTTATGTACAGCACCAGTGTTAGGTACAGTCTCAGTGTTAGGTACAGTCTCAGTGTTAGGTACAGTCTCAGTGTTAGGTACAGTCAGTGTTAGATACAGCACCAGGGTTACATACAGCACCAGAGTTACATACAGCACAAGTGTCACAGTGTCACACACAGCACAAGTGTGTGACACTTGTGCTGTGTGTGAGACTTGTGCTGTGTTTGATACTTGTGCTGTGTGTGACACTTGTGCTGTGTGTGATACTTGTGCTGTGTGTGGCACTTGTGCTGTGTGTGGCACTTGTGCTGTATGTGGCACTTGTGCTCTATGTGACACTTGTGCTGTGTGACACTTGTGCTGTATGCGACACTTGTGCTGTGTGACACTTGTGCTGTATGCGACACTTGTGCTGTCGCACACAGCGGCAGCAATATATATATATATATATATATATATATATATATATATATATATATATATATATATATATATATATATATATATATGTGTGTGTGTGTTGCTAGTCATGGCATTATGCCGCCCGTCCCCACACACGTACCAAAACACAAATACATACCATGAAAGAATCTAATATATTTGCACACTTACTGAGGTTTTAATACTTGGTGCTGCGTCCTTTACACTTAATCACGTCCCTCAGCTGTGTAGGAAGACTCTCATACTAATTCTTGAGGGTTTGGGGAGGTATATTATTCCTTGCCTCATGCAGAGCAACCTCCAGCCACGGGATGGAACTGATATCCTTGCACAGTAAACTTCGTTTCACTATTGACCAGAGGTTCTCAATAGGGTTTAGGTCTGGGGAATTGCCTGGCCAGTCATTAAAGAACCTCATTTCACAGTCCTTAAGCCACTGAGCTACAGATTTGGCGGTATGACATGGTGCACCGTCCTGCATGAAAACCGTAGCCCCATACTTGTCAAGCGCCTCAGGTAAATTGTCACACAATAACTCCAGGTAATTATACTGGTTCATATACTGGTTTTTGGGAAGCACAATGAGTTCACCAACACTCTGAGCACTGAACCACCCCGAAGCCATGAGTCTGGGTGTTTGGTGGTCCCACAGGTGTAGCGTGGGTCTAGCGGGTCACTACCTCTGTGCCGGTACACATGTTCACAACGGTTACAGGTGACGGTGAAGATTGCTTCCTCACTCCAAAGTACTTCAGACCACTGTTGAGCAGTCCAGCCTACGTTTCTTCTGTGGCTTGGAGACGATTGGTTTCCTAACCTGGCGGTGACTACTGTAGCCCAGTTCTGACACACGTCTGTAAACAGATCTTACAGACACCTCTGAGAGAAGATGTGGGTTCTTTCCTTTCATTTCTCTAGCAGTTATCTTAGGTGTACTCTCTAACTGCTTCTTTAACACAGTTAAGGTATGAACAGATGTCTTCTTCGAGGGGCCAGGCCGAGGTTTGGGAGACGGTAACTTGACACCTCCACCAGCCCTGAAACGCTCACACACACCAACATTTTCCACTATTTCTTCCATCTTGTGCCCAGCTTTGTGATGCCCTATGATTTGAGCTATAGTTTCAGGTGTTAAAGACTTCCTTTTATCCATAATCAAACATGAATAGCTCCAAAACCAATGGGAACACCGGACAAAAGATGGGGCAGATAGACAAAAATGCAACATTTCCTCTCACCACGGCAGCCACGTGAGCCCTGAGGAGTCACTGTGGAGTGTGGGAACAGGCCGTCACGTCATGCTAACAGCTGCTACTCGGCATAATGCACTGACGAAAAAAGACCCCTCTATATGGTAGGCCTTTGATTTTCGTCACGGCATTATGCCGGGGTGCTCACCCGGCAAAATTCCGTGACTAACCACACATTATATATATATATATATATATATATATATATATATATATATATATAATTATATATATATATATATATATGTCGTGCCGAATATGTAAAACTAGTCAATTAGCAAGAACTCATTTAAAATTAAGTCCTTTCTAAAATTTTCTCTTATACGTTGAAAGATATTTTTTTCATTAATGTTAATATAAAAATTTAAAATTTTGCACCAAAAGAATTTTAGAAAACTTACCTAACCTTATTATAACAAGAACAATTTATTATAGCCTAACCCAACTAAATATATTTTAGACTTGTTTACAGAAATTTAATACTAAACAAACACAGTGAAATATATTTTTTTCGTTAGGTTCAGAATGATTTTGGCTAAATTATTGCATACACAAATTTTCACTTGTCCTATATGGCAAGATGAACGTTGCTATTTAAGCCAAGATCGCAAATTCTGCCTATTCGGCACGACATATGTATATATATATATATATAATATATATATATATATATATATATATATATAATTGTAATTGTTTTACATGATGGTAGGATTGCTGGTGTCTTTTGTCTGTCTCATAAACATGCAAGATTTCAGGTATGTCTTGCTACTTACACTTAGGTCACACTACACATACATGTACAAGCATATATATGCACACCCCTCTGGGCTTTCTTCTATTTTTTTCTAGCTCTTGTTCTTGTTTATTTCCTCTTATCTCCATGAAGAAGTGGAACAGAATTCTTCCTCCGTAAACCATGCGTGTTGTAAGAGGCAACTAAAATGCCGGGAGCAAGGGGCTAATAACCCCTTCTCCTGTATATATTACTAAATGTAAAAGGAGAAACTTTCGTTTTTCCTTTTGGGCCACCCCGCCTCGGTGAGATACAGCCGGTATCCCAGTTGTAGTTGTAGCTACAATGAGAGTACAAGGTAGGCGGGATACAAGGAAAATAGAAGCAGCAAGTAAGAGAGAGGTGAAGGTTTATAAACTAAAGGAAGAGGCAGTTTGGTTAAGATATAAACAACTATTGGAGGATAAATGGGCTAGTGAGAGTATATAGGCAATGGGGTCGAATATGTATGGGGTAGGTTTAAGAATGCAATGTTTGAGTGTTCAGCAGAAGTTTGTGGTTACAGGAAAGTGGGTGCGGGAGGGAAGAAGAGCGAAATGAGAGGTTTTTACAAAGTAGAAGTGATGCAAGGAGGGAAAAGTATATGAAGAGAAAAAGAGAGGTTAAGAGAGTGGTGAAGCAATGTAAAAAGAGAGCAAATGAAACAGTGGGCGAGATGTAATCAACAAATTTTGTTGAAAATAAGAAAAAGTTTTGGAATGAGATTAATACGTTGAGGAAGCCTAGGGAACAAATGGATTTGACAGTTAAAATGAGGAGAGGAGAGTTATTAAATGGAGAGCTAGAGGTATCGGGAATATGGAGGGAATATTTTGAGGATTTGTTAATTGTTGAAGATAGGGAAGCTGTTATTCCGTGTATAGGACAAGGAGGAATAACATCTTGTAGGAGTGAGGAAGAGCCTGTTGTGAGTGTTGGGGAAGTTCGTGAGGCAGTGGGTAAAATGAAAGGGGGTAAGGCAGCTGGGATTGAAGGGATAAAAAGAGAAATGTTAAAAGCAGGTGGGGATATAGTTTTGGAGTGGTTGGTGCTGTATGGAAGCAGGTAAGGTACCTAGGGATTGGCAGAAAGCGTGCATAATTCCTTTGTATAAAGGTAAAGGGGACAAAAGAGATTGCAAAAATTATTAGGGAATAAGTCTGTTGAGTATACCTGGTAAAGTGTATGGTAGAGTTATTATTGAAAGAATTAAGAGCAAGACGGAGAGTAGGGCAGCAGATGAACAAGGAGGCTTAAGGTAAGGTAGGGGGTGTGTGGACCAGGTGTTTACAGTGAAGCATATAGGTGAACAGTATTTAGATAAGGGTAAATAGGTTTTTGTGGTATTTATAGATTTGGAAAAGGCGTATGACAGGATGGATAGGGGGGCAATGTGGCAGATGTAGGTGTACGGAATAGGAGGTAGGTTACTGAAAGCAGTGAAGAGTTATGAGGATAGTGAGGCTCAGAGTATGAAGAAGAGAGGGAGATTATTTCCCAGTAAAACTAGACCTTAGACAATGATGTGTAATGTTACTGTGATTGTTCAATATATTTATAGATGGGATTGTAAGAGAAGTGAATGCATGGGCCTTGGCAAGAAATGTGGGGTTAAAAGATAAAGAATCTAACACAAAGTGAGAGTTGTCACAGTTGCTTTTTGCTGATGATACTGTGCTTTTGGGAGATTCTGAAGAGAAGTTGCAGAGATAAGCGAAAACCACACCTAGCTATTCTGGGTGTGTGATTCTTGCAAGATTTGGTGGTCGTGTAGGATAGCGTCATGTGGTTCTCGCTCACCATGAGGCATGCGAAAACAACATGAGTTTGAGTCCTTGGCTAGTCGCAGTGTCGTTATTGACCATTACCACTTGTCTGTGGTTACAATAATATATATATAATATATATAATTGTAGGTAGTAGGTTGGTAGACAGCAACCACCCAGGGGGGTACTACCGTCCTGCCAAGTGAGTGTAAAACGAAAGCCTGTATTTGTTTTACATGATGGTAGGAATGCTGGTGTCTTTTTTCTGTCTCATAAACATGCAAGATTTCAGGTACGTCTTGCTACTTCTACATACACTTAGGTCACACTACACATACATGTACAAGCATATATATATACATACCCCTCTGGGTTTTCTTCTATTTTCTTTCTAGTTCTTGTTCTTGTTTATTTCCTCCTATCTCCATGGAGAAGTGGAACAGAATTCTTCCTCCGTAAGCCATGCGTATTGTAAGAGGCAACTAAAATGCCGGGAACAAGGGGCTAGTAACCTTTCTCCTGTATATATTACTAAATGTAAAAGGAGAAACTTTCGTTTTTCCTTGTGGGCCACCCCGCCTCGGTGGG